CCTACTACTACCTACTACTACCTACTACTACCTACTACTACCTACTACTACCTACTACTACCTACTACTACCTACTACTACCTACTACTACCTACTACTACCTACTACCGACGACGACTGCGACTACGATGGCTCCCTGAGCCGATAATTCAGCGGAGGTGGACCTCATGAGTGGTATCTCAGACCTTCTTGACCTTGTTGACCTACCATGTGGGGGGGGGCGGTTTATTAATCAGAGGTTGACATTATATGATTATATGCATATATACATACCAACTCATACCAATATTGATATTAATATACATAACTGCTGGAGTCCGGAGTCGAACCTGTGTATGATATCCCCCACAAAACCCACTGGCTGAGTAGCAAAGTGACTTGATGGAAGCTGTGCCTTTCAAGCTGTTCGACATTCAGCGAGAGTACCTGTGAAAACGAGATTGACTCAACTTTTTGAAGCGCTTTGTCTCAAAGAAGAGGCCGAGAGACAACCAAGACTCAAAACAATTTTGCTTAAAGCATTTTATATAAAGCAATCTTCATTCATACATGAACAACAACCTGTCAAAGTGCACCCATCTTCGCAAGTCAATGGGTGTGCTCTCCTCCTGCAAGTTTGCTAGGACGCTTCTTAGCGCATCACTGTCTCACCAGTTGCCTGACCATGCTTCGTCTCTGCGTTTGCACCGTCCTTGTCTTTGGCACAAACACCATTCTCCTCTTGGCATCGTTTGCGCGGCTCAAGGAGCGTCAAGTTCATGGACTGAAGCTGGTACATACTTGCTGGGCCCGCTCCAATGCATATGCGCTGATGGCAAGCAAAAATTGAACAGCGGTGTCACACGGTCGCAGTAAGAAAGTGTCCTTAGCCTTGGGTGTGGCACGCTTGGCTTTGTTGCGCTTCCTTTGACCTTAGTTTCGGTCTTCTTTTGAGATACTCAATTCAGCTCCAGCCAGAACCCTCCTTGCGCCCTTACAGTACTTTCGTACCCTGCAAGTTGATCATTTCAACTGATTGTGGTCAGCAATGTTGACCCAGCCTCTTTGTGACTCAGGCTCTGCTTTGTCTCCGTCCTCAAGCTTCTCGTGAAATGCAAATCCATAGCGGTTCTCTGTGGAACCTAATGCTGTTCAAGTGGCAAAGCCTTTTCAAATGCTCTCTCAACAGTCGTGTTTTGCCCCTTCGAGAATGCATGGCGACTCTAAGGCGCTAAGGATTTTGCTCCGGTGAACATTTTTCTGCCGACCACATCCATTGTGTGATCCTTAGGTGAATCACCAGTTCTTGAGGCATGTGACATGAGTATCATGAGTACACTTAATAATGAGTATTAGAACGAAGCTTGGCAAACAAACGCGCAAACCCTACTCAACATGTCCTGTTGGCCTGTGCCACTTTCTTGTGTTCTCAGTTTCTCACTAAAAGAATCTGACGCATCTGGCCAGGGCGCTTCAGGTCCAAGGCCTCGGCGCATTGTCACACGTGCTCTGTGTGCTCTGGTGAATTTGGAACTCGATGAAAGCATCCAAGCATATCCAAGCATATCACGGAGGATCTCTTTGGCCATTAAACATCATTGAGCGACACTGAGTCAAGGCTGAGAACAAGGCCAAAGTTAAAGCTGCTTCAACCTGCCAGCGAATAAGAATTACCAACGTTTTACAGCAGATCGTCCCAGCCTTGCCCTCCCGAACCAGCAGGGCTATTCGAGAGTCCTGCGACACTAAAGACAAGAACAAAATGATAGGAAAGGAGCCCTCAGGCGGGGGGGGAGCTTCCTTGAAGAAACGTGAGCTATCCTGGGTCCATATGTAGTAGTTTAAGTAGCCAGGAGCCAACAAGTTTGTCCCTTACTTAATTAAGTAGACACCTACTTGATTAAGTAAGGGGGCAGGGCCACGGACTCTAAAGGAAAAAACATACAACTTCGTCCAACTAGTCAATCCCGGTAGAGCCTTCAATGCCAAGTCCGCCTTCTCATCTTGGCCTCTTGGTCAAAATGTAACATGGACCAAGAAATAGAAAAGGGATGTTTCAAGTGACAAGTCAAGCAAAGCGACTAGTTTGGTCGCAGGTCTCATTGCCGGGCGATGTGCCCTTGAGTTGGCACTCTGATGCAATGCACATGAATGCACCCACAGGGTGGTTGTTTTCTGGCATGTTAAACTTATTACAGTAAATACAATATAATATATATATATATATGTCAATCAGGCGTAACACCCTTGAGACCCAAACGCTGCTTCTCCATCTCCTGAGTCGTATCTCTCCAAATACCTGGGCCAAATTGCGAAAAGTGAGGAAGGATTTGGGTAGGCATGGCTTGGGCCACGGCCTCAAACACTATGGCAGCCGAAAGGCACATGGTATTCATGTAAAAAAATGGGTGATATCCAGTTCCACAGTGCTGCTCTTGATGCGAATGCTGTCAAGTTGCAAATCTTGGAGTCTGCGCCGCCGGAGACCATGCGATTGCCACAAACATCAATACACCACACTTTGCTGCTGTGTTCCTCAAAAGTTCCGGCGCACTCAGCAGTCCTCGCACCCATGACGGAGCCAGCCCATGAATCTCTTCAAAGGAGAAGACATGGCTCGAAAAAAATTAGCTGATGTAAAGAGACCTGTTTGGTCCTAATGGGTGCGCTTTTAATTCGGTATGTTTTTCATTTTTCAGATCTCTCCAAGATCCTTGGGGATCACAACTCGCTGCGTGTGCCAAAAAAGGAAGTGCCCTACAGGCCCAAAGCGGAGTGAGTGGCCGAGTTTTGAAAGGAAACAGTTGCCTCAGGGCTGACACTTAAGAGAAACAGCAGCTGTAGCAAGCAAAGTACGTTGGAAAAAGTAGTGCAAATGTCGCGTTGGTGGCCGGTGCAGTGGAGCGTGGTCGATATTAATGACGCTGTGCTCGTGGCGCTGGAGGGGTTTGGGGGGAGGGCACGTGCTTGGACGCTTCTGTGCGCGGCTGCTTGCGGATTGGCACCCATGGATTTTTGTTTCTCTCAATTTTGGTGGCACTTGTTGGGGGATTGCGGGCGCAAAGCTCACCTCACTTGCCCCTTCCTCCTCCAATTTGCCAGATTCATTAAGACTTTGACTGAAGACCACGTTTCCAGTGACGAGTTGCACAGCTGGGAGACTGTGGAGCATCGCCTCACCACGCTGGACGCGCAAGCGCTCCGCCAACTTCTTGTTAGGCAGCTCGCATGTTTTGTGCCAAAAGCGCTCACGAGTGTATATGTGTACCTGTACATGAGCAAACCTACCTAATGCACAAGACTGCATGTAAAGTTGAAAAACTCTAACACGCCGCCTCAAAAATGAGACGCCCAAGTCTTCTTTTTGACTTGATCTACTGCTTGCTCTTTCTACATTGCTGAGGGTTGCTTCGTCTAAGCAACCAAGGTTAAGGTCCCTCAGCAAGTTTCTATGTCACATATCCTATATGTGTAGTTCCGGGGTCGTTCATGCCATTCCGACAAAGTCTTTTGCGAATTCTGGATCTATACAGTGTCTCGAAAACAAAAGTTCAAGTACTGTATTGTTCGTAGTGCCATTTGTGAATTCCTGGTTCAGCTGGAGCAGGAATCACTTCCGTGCATCCTGGGTAGATTGTTGGTTCAGCTGGTTCAACAATCCACCTGTTGTCGAAATGAAATTGAATTGTAAATTGCTCTCCTCCTCCAATGCTCACTGCTCAATGTCCCGTAGAAGCACTTGGTCTCTCAACATCATTTGTCACCTCGTTCTCGTCCTCCGAGTCCGAAGAAAATGATGTATTCCCATCCACATTTCTGGATCTGAAACCTCATCCAATCTGCTGTTAAGGTATCGTGCATATCTAGCGTCGTCACTCTCTCCACTCGATGTCTCTCCTTCATCTTCTCCTTCGCCTGAGTTGTCTCTGTCAGACCTTGCTATTGGTTGCGCCGCCTCGCTTGTACTCCCAGTGTTGCGTCCAGAAACTCGATCTTGTCTAAAATAACCATCGCTCTCATCCATTCTACCCAACAATCACTCAACTCTTTCACTTGGTTCTGCCCCTGGCTCCGGAAGTTCAGGAATCTCCGGACCCTGGGGGCTTTCCTCATCCACCGACAAACCTGTCATCGATTGGCAAATGATGAGCCCTCCTCCTTGCCATCTCACCAGGATTCTCTTCTATCATCAATGTTGATCTCAAAATCTCTCGCCTCTTGTAGTAGTAGTTCTTCCTCTCAAGCTCTGTCATTCTTCCTGCTCTTCTTTCTATTCGTCGCTCAACTCGTCCCAACATCCAATATGTAAACCACTCTGGCGACCATGGTCCCCATCTTCCAGGTGGATCGATGGGCATAGGCGGAAACAAGGGAGGTCGAGGTTCGACATGACCTATCGCATGACGGGCCCCTGGTTCGACGTTGTCATGCCAACAATCCTCCTCTCTGCTTCCGGCTCTGGTTCTTCTTCATCCCTTTCAGAATTTCGACGCTTTCTTCCTCGTGGTCCAAATCTGACCACCAGCTCATTCCAGTTATTGTAAGCCCAATTGCACAATGCCACAAGCATCAACACCAACAATGTCAAATAGAATTGTTGACTATAGTCCTGTTCGACAATCTCGTTGGACCCATGCTCCACGCATGTCTTTAGGCTCTTTGCTTGCATCATCATGACACACTGCGCAAACAGTCTGCTGGATTTGCTCTTCGTCCAACGTGTAACCTGTCTCACTTGATTCTTCCACTGTTGTTCCATGAAATGCGTGGTTTGTTCTTCCTCTCCAATCTTTTCCAAAATCCTGTTGTCTTCACTGAGTCTGATTGCCCCCATGAAAGAAAGTAAAAATTTTCTTCTCATAGCTGTAAGCTTCTTGGTATTTAGATCAGAGATATTGGCCTGTGTCGGTACAGGCAATGCTTTCAGAACTTTGGAACGTATAGCATCTTGTAGCCAGCACAAACGAACATCAATGTGCTTCAGTCGACCTATGCCTGACCGTTGCAGCCACTGGCGCCCGCTCGAAGAATCACTCCAGGCTTCTAGCAAGATGTTGCGCCCTTCTCCGACCATGAATTGCCAAACCTCTTTCAGCAAAATAGCTTCACTAGATCCTGATGTCAATGAGAGAACTTCAGCCTCACACGAGCTCAATGCGACTGCTTTCTGTGTTCGACTGTAGGAAAGCACCACCAGGCTGTTCAACAAAACCACAACCGATGTTGTTGATTTCCGGTACAGACTACCGGCCCAGTCACTGTCGCAGAAGATCTCCATGAGGTGTTGTGAATCCTCCACTGTTCTCAATTCTCCTGACCACTGGTTTGGTCTCTGCTGAGCTCCCTTCTTGGCTCCCATTGGCACGTCGTTGACCAACAGTGTGAGTTGTCACTGATGCTCCTCCTGAAGACGAATGGGCTTGATCACTTGCTACCTGTCGAATATTGTTCCTCCAACAGTCTTTAGCAAGATGTCCTGGCTTTCCACGAGTGTAACGCGTTGCCACACCTTCACCTTTCTGGTCTTTGCCTTTACCCGCCCTTGTGATCACCTTCCTTTCCTTTCTGATCTCCTGGCCCTTGCTTTCCTTTGCCCTTGGCATCTTTACCTGCGCCTTTCTGACGGTCATTCATTCTTGCCCTTCTTACCTTTTTGTTTGGCATTGTTGAACTCGATCAACCTCCATTGGCATAGCCCCTTGATAGTCTGTACTGCTACTCGCCACCATGGAAGTAGCCCACTTCTGCTGAGATCTACCCCACTGCAACACTTGTTCCCTCAAAGTTGAGTATTGAACATTGTCGCCAATTGTCAAGTTCAAGTATGATTTGAGTTGTCCACCTACACACCTCAAAAGAGCAGATTTCAACTCTTCCTGAATTATAGTACCTGACTTGACTGTCTCATCAAATACCTCTTCAAGCTTCAATCGTCAATAGTTGAGGTTGTAGAGCACTGTTCATTGAAAATGCTGGCCATGTAGTGGCTGCTCCCAAGCGTGCCAATTGAAGTTGGTTTCAAAGTCTTGTTCAAACTTCCCCAAGCATCAAATCCATTGGAGTCTTCCACAGCATTGCAGCGCCCTTCCTCTCATCAATGAAACTAACAATCCATAAAGCCTGATGCACCTGGTCTTCTTTGGATCATTTGCCAAGTTCATATCAAATTTGTCATTTGGCTTGTCGTGGATTTACTTCAGGTCTTTCATGTAGCCCTCATTCATCCACTGCGCTCAGGTACTTCTCAAAGATCCAGGACCACTCTCTGAACGCCTCAATCTCTTCCTCTTGTGACTTGTGCTCAAAGACGTTGGGCTTTGTTATCAGCTTTGACCAATCAGTTGTTGATCACGTCCTGTCTTCAACTGCTTTCTGTATTGCCTCAGCTGCTGACGTTGTTGCCAGCGAACTCTGCGCTATTGTTTGAAGGATATCTCTGACTTCATCCATCTTCTTCTTGTACTAATGTCTCTTGGACACAATGTGCTGGGTACAGTGTGTTGCTCACAACAATTATTCACCAGTCCACCTGTTTGGATTCCAAAGGCACCAATTCTATGGCTCGAAATCGCACCCGGGATCCCAGTGACCTAGGGGCTTTTCACTCAGAGCTCCAGACAGGTTACCTCCTTCTACGCTCCGCTACCATACGCACCTTTTCCTTGAAATGCAAAAGGGCTGCAGTGAACTCTATGATGTCTGTCATGCAATGTACACGAGCTATGGTCTAAGTGGAAAATGATTCACATATATATATATATATATTTATGAAATATGAGTATGTGCAAGTGGTGCAGTCGTGCATCACACAGTAAACCGAACAGCAACAAGTGCAGCATAGTAGACCAAACAGCAAAGCAACAAGAGCAGAAAAGCAGCAAGAGCGACACAGCAATCAAAGCAACAAAAAACGGACGAGCCGAGTTAAGACAACAAGGAAAAGGCTAACACCAAAAGCAAAAAAGCAGCAAAAGCAAAAATAATGTAAAAGAAAAAACGGGAGAAGAAAAAAAAACTTAAAACACACCCATCCGGTCCTAATATGCCAGAGCTTCAGCAAGCCATCCACACTGCTGGTCATCAGCTGCATGCCATTTGACAGGAAAGCCACCCGGAGTACTGCACTACTATGGCCCTGGAATGAGCGAATCGCCCTGGCAGGTCAGGGTTTCTGGAGACGAAAAAGAACGACAACAAGTCGCCTCCACCCACCAAAAAAATAACAATAGAACGTCTCTGTATGTATGTGCCATGACACCCGATAGTAGTTTCCATACAGAAATGCAGCACATTGCCAGAAGTCTAAGTTGTGCATCGGATCATGTCGGGTACAATGAAGAGTTAACCCTGACTTTAGTGGTGCAACCCAGTTTGCAACGCCTTCCTGTGCAAGTCCGGAGTCCACCCGATTCCCATCAGATTCAATCGCTTCAAAGACTACAGTACACGAGCCAGTCAAGTCTGGTCCAGCGGCCTGAAGTCCTTCAAGTTCCACAATCTCACAGTTGCATCACCTCACACAGCAAGTGTTCATGCCAATACATTGGCTGCATGCCTTTCCACATGCCAACAGGTCCTCGGATTGCTACACTCTCGTAGCATTTCTTTCAAAGCATATGAAACCCTGCCACTGTCTGGCTACGCTGCACTAAACAACGTTCCATCCCGCTTTACGGGGTAGGCACAATCAAAGCAGCTTGCCTAATTGGGGTGCACTTCGTGAATTGACCGACACACATCTATCGTCAAGAAAATCCACCCAAACGCCGCCATTCATCAATTCCTGAAGCTCTTGGGCAATGTCTTCTTCACTGTAGCCATTGCCTCGAACTTGTTCCCAAAAGTTTCGCCATTCCGATGGAAGGATTTCTCCATCGCCATTCTCATCCACTTCAGAGAACATTGCCGAGCTGCTGATCTTCCCAAACTTTTGGAAGAATTGTTGGGCCTCCTGCTTTGTGAGACGCCCATCTGCATTGTCATCCATCCTGTGGTAGAGCTCTTCAACTTGGCTTAAAAGCCATGGAGAGAGTTTCACTTCCTTACGCTGAATGTGCCCAGCTTCTGGCGGCATATATCCATGTCTACTGCCCATGCTCCCTCTCCTCTGTTCAGTCACAGGCGTTCCTTGCCGGATGGAACCAAGACCGTCTTGACTATTTGTGGAGAAACGCAGCGACTTCAATCCGATGCTCGACAAGCTGCTGGATCTATGAAAGGATGCGGACACTCTGGTTGATTGGGTCTTCGCAAGTCCCTTCATTGTAGTTCGACTGTAGTCTCCAACTGCTGGGAAAGCCATCATAGCTGTTTTGCCCATCACGTTTGCTTTCATCAGAAGCATAGGCACGTTGGTCTTTTTGTGGCGAACGAGATCATTAAAGCTATCTCTTTTGAGACTGCTCTCAGATGGGCCCCAGAACGTTGTGCTTTGAGGCAGCATTGTTTTGGCTTGAAAACTTGAGCCAAAACCTTGGCAAGAAATACCAGCATCACACATGCTCACACCATGAGATTTCAAAGGCTTATCAGCTCAAACTCGTGTTTTCTTGTCCAAAGGACTCAGGAGGTCAGGCCAAACGTTGATCAACTTCAACTGTCTGAGACCCCCGCCAGATGCGGATGCCACGACTTGGTCAATGGGCGAAAACGCAACGCACCATATGCCACGTCGATGGCCTTTGCCTCGTCGGTGTGAACAAACCCAAACAGACCTGCAAATACCTGCGGCATCCCACAGCTGCATTCAGCTGAAGGCTTGCTAGTGCATTGTGCAATCAAGACACACTCGCCGAGAAGGTCGCCTTCTGGGAACTTCCAAATTCGCACTAATTTGTCCTCCACAAATCATGGAACCATACTTGATGCTTGAGCAGTGTAGAAGCAAGGGACAACTCGGAACTGCTGATTCTGTACGAGTCACATGTCACAGTCGAAACAAACCACAGAGTGGACATAACCTCTGAAACATTGTCTTCCGGAAGTCCTGGCCACCTGATGCCATCAGTTTGTTGTTGGGCGCAACAAGAACCTTTGTAGGAGCACTGCAAGAACTTAACGAGCAGAATTCCAGGAGACTAAAACGACAGGAGATCTCAGATAAAAATATTTGGCATAGCTTATGAAAAGAGTTTTCCAGGTCTCGATTATTCATTTCGAACGGTGGAGCAACAATGGAGCAATTAGGGAGACCGGTCCGCTTGCAACCTTGAGTTCAAGCGCAGATGTCACACTTCCATAGATTAAAGAATAGGCAGCCGAGTACCCGGCCACAATCAATCGCTTTTCTGGGATATATGGAAGCGCGAAAACGGTATCAAATGTATTAAGCTTCTGGCATCATTCACTTCTTTAGAATGCGCAAGAACCTGAGTTTATCGCCGTATTCGTCGAACAAGTTGCACAAACTTTGGACTTTAGATAGCGACAGTCACTTTGGACTTTTTGACTTTCGTGCCAGTGCCAAGCACCTGAAAGTGCTCTAGAGCAAGGAGATACGGTCATCGTACGTTATCTGGTTTGCGCTGCATTCCTGCGACTGCAATACTCCGAGCCTTCCCCAGCTCTTTGGCCTTAGGCAAACCAAACTGGTTTTTAAGGTCAATGTGCAGCCTCAGTAGCGCCTCATTGACTTATCTAACATGTTTGCCTAGTATATCCTGGTATTGTCTCAGGCACGAGCACTGGGGATTTCCCATACTTTCATGGTCTTGTCCTGACCTCTCAGTTTTGGCAAGCTGCAGTGCTTGCAGAACCCCCACTGTTCTTAGGAGCACATCCAAGTTCCTTGCTGACACTCACCAGCAGCATGGGCAGCTGCTCTTGTTGGGATGCGGCACGGAGCTTGGCACATAACAAAGTAAAAACATGAAGTCGGCAAGACACATGACACATATGCCATGGGTGCATGTCAAGGACAATTGAACTGAAGTCACGAACCGACTTCCATTGAGACCGTTGCAGTCCGTGGTCGACGCTTTGAAAACGACAAAGCTGTCCTGAGTTCAAGTCGTATCTGGCTCAAACTCCGCGCAAAAATGCTCTACGGGATATCTTGGATCTTGGGAAGCGGCACATCTCCAGCGTGTCCCGAACACGTACAGGCCTTTGTCGGATTCCCATCATTTGGACAAGGAGTGTGGTGTCACTAAGGGCAAGGCCAGTTCACATGTAGAAGCACTCCAAACTTTTATGACTTGGTCCTTGCCTCGCAAGTCGCTTTCGAAGCTCCAAGTAAACAAGTGGTGGGGCAAAGTGTCAAAGCTTCAAGTATTTTTTCATATGTATTTACGTAGGTCTGTCTGTCTGTATGTATGCACGTATGTATGCATACGTGTAATGTATGTATTGCTTCCTAAAGATGTTTCTTCTGCACGTGGTTCGAGGGCCATTTTGGCCAAGGGTCTTTGTAATGGTTTCAAGGCACCCAGTGGCATGCTGCTGGTAGGGGCGCGTTGACGCAGGGTCAGAAATTTCCCTTCCTCTCGCCCAGGCCATTTGCAGGCATCTCGCTGACATCGATGGAGATGAGGTTCTTGGCCTGGTGCTTCTGAAGTTCTGGCATCTTGACTGACATAGAGGGGCGCCACTCGTTTGAAAGAATCGTCCTGAGCCCGGCTGGGTGTCATGGCCAGTGCTGGACTTCCTGCCTGTGCAGGGGGTGCCTCCTCAACTGGCGACAAGGTGGCGTCGGTGTCCTGTGCATTGCCATAGTGCAAGCGGGTCCTGTCTTGTGTGCGCTTTGCCCGCTTCGGTGGACTTTCGTGTAGAGGTGGATAGTAGTCTGGCTCCTCAGAAGGTGGGAGCTCACGCATGACCTGTTGCGCGGTTCTGAAGGTGTCCACGTGCACAGACCAAATTTGTGTGATCTGGCTGGCAAGTTTTGGCGTCAGGTGTGGAAGATGAACTGGAGCCTGCCCGTCGTCCGCTAACCACATCAAGTCCCTGTAGGGAGTGGCCTGTTTCGTGACTTGGTCTTCTTGGTCCTCTGTGGCATGTACGTACGTACGTACGTATGTATGTATGCATGCATGCATGTGCGTGCGTACGAACGTCCGTACACACGTAGGTAGGTAGGTAGGTAGGCAGGGAGGCAGGCAGGCAGGCAGGCATGCATGCATGCATGCATGCACACTTTAAAAAAAATTACAGTATACATTGTATACATAGTGAATACTGTTCAGGAGATCTTGGCTCTGTGCCACCAGTGGCAATCCATGCGCCATCGACAGACACATCGCAAGAGATCACAACGTCTGTGTGGCCCCGGAGCCTGCAGAAGAGGAAGACTTACACGACAAAAACAGGAAAAACATGAGAGCGTGACATTGCTGCTCCAAATCCCTCACAACTCACCACCCTGGCAGTCAAAAGTTTCTCTGCAAGAATGCCAGAATGTGATGGTACTCCTTTAGAGTTGGAATAAAGGGAAGAAAGGAAGAGAGATGAAGAGAGAAGGCAAAAAGAATTGTCTAAATCTAAAGCGCTGTGCTGGAGAGCCCCTTGTTCGGGCCTCGGATGCTCATCGTTGGCGATGCACACAAAGCGGTCAGCCGTAACCAGCGACCTCAAAAAGCAAGGGTTCATCTGGCCAAGAAAAAGTAATTACACAACTAAACTAGGAATCCTGAAAGGCTCAAACCCTTTGGTGGTAGAGTCTTCCACTTCTTGCTCTTGAGGCCTAAAGTGCTCAGACAGCACGTGTTTGAAAACAAGGAACACTCAGAACCATGCAGCTTCAAAGATATATATATATATATCAGCACCTCGTATCCTCCTGTGCTGGTTTAGCGGTGTCACTTGGGCTACGGGTTCCCTCGGGGCACCCGCGCTGTAAAAACAAACAATTCGAAAATGGTTCTATTTCCCCACATCTCTGTGTGGGGTTCTAGTTTTGTTGGCTGCCATCCCGCCCGCATCCGCCCTTCCTTCCTTCCTTCCCTCCGTCCTCCTCGCCCACTCACTCACTCACTCACTCACTGCACACTCACACTCCCAGCAGTCTCCAGGGACTCAGTCACTCACTCACTCAGTCACTCACTCACTTGCTCACACACTCACTCACTCACTGCACACTCACACTCCCAGCAGTCTCCAGGGACTCAGTCACTCACTCACTCAGTCACTCACTCACTTGCTCACACACTCACTCACACTCCCAGAGCCAGTCACTCACTCACTCACTCAGTCACTCACTCACTCACACTCCCAGAGCCAGTCACTCACTCGCTCGCTCACTCACTCACTCACTCACTCACACTCCCAGAGCCAGTCACTCACTCACTCACTCAGTCACTCACTCACTCCCAGAGCCAGTCACTCACTCACTCACTCACTCACTCAGTCACTCACTCGCTCACTCACTCACTCACACTCCCAGAGCCTGTCATCCAGAGACCAGAAGGGGCTGCGGCGTGCGTTGTCGCCGCTGGGCCCCCCTCTCTCTCTGCAGTGGCAGGCGCAGTACCCAGAGCCTCCAGAAGGGGCTGCGGCGTGCGTTGTCGCCGCTCGGCCCCCCTCGCTCTCTGCAGTGGCAGGCGCAGTACCCAGAGCCTCCAGAAGGGGCTGCGGCGCGCGTT